ATATTGAATTTTGATATATTTAAAAACATTTTTCGATAAAAATAACTTCTTAAAAAAACGAAAAATCTATGTTTTTATATATATTAATATAATTGTTACCGTAATTTAAGAAAACATGTTTTATAGGAAAACACATGTGTATTCTTTTGTCATTTCCGCTGGCAGACGGAGGCTTTTGCAGCAAAAATAAATGAGTGACTGAGAATGATTCCCTCATTCTCAACCTTTTTTATTTTCTCAATATATATATATATATATATATATATATATATATATATATATATATATACTATTTATTTATTTATAACGCTAGCTTATAATGTGGATAGACAACTATTGTGCGGACATGTGGATAGTGTTATTCAATGAGAATTACTATAAGAATAGGTTGTTTTGGTAATTTGACTACGTTTAATATCATACAACTAACGTCATTTTCGTGCATTCTCACTAATTCGTATTCATTTTTGTTCTTCCACATCGTTTTTCCTTTATTTTCATTCTTACAGAATACAACACAATAAACATTCTAACAATATTCTGACAGAATGAGAATAATAATAAAAAATTTATAATAACCTTATACACGATTTAATTAGTGAAAATGTATGAGAATAACAACAGTTTTGTAAGATTGAACGTATATATTTTTTAAACAACGTATTTTCTTTGTTATTCTTACACAATAGCACTGTCCTCATGTCCGTATAATAAATGTCAATCCACATTTAAACCAAGCTATCTCTCTCTCTCTTTCTCTCTCTCTCTCTCTCTCTCTCTCTCTCTCTCTATATATATATATATATATATATATATATATATATATATATATATATATATATATCAGAGTTATATTCTTGTTCATTGATATATATATATATATATATATATATATATATATATATGTATATATGTTTTATTTTCACGGGAAATCTGCGAAAAAGTTCCCAAGTTTTGGGCCAGTTAATGATCTAATCTTAAATTAAATTTGATTAACAAAAAAGGACAGGAAACCGGGTAATATAATCACTTTAACCCTTTTTACCTTTTCAGCAGGTTACCTCTTCCCTCAGGTTACCTTTCTACATGGAAGTAAGATTGAAGCAACAATTTGTTGTTTCTTGTGGTAATCTCCCATTCATTGTTCTACAAACACATATATTCAATACATTTCTTATCTCTATCTCAATTGATAATATATGTGTTAGATATGCAGAAAACAACAATAGAGCAAAGAAATTATTAGGTATCATGGGTCTATTCATGGAACAACATCACAGTCATAGGTCGACCCATGACTCAAGTTGCAGTTTCTATAAAAGATGTTCAACAATCAAAGAAATTATTAGGTCAATCATGGGTCTATTCAAGAACCCAAAAACTGAAGTTTTTGTAAAATATGTTATTTATCCCCCTCAAGAAGTTTATGCTATTAGAGGTGCTTTTGAGAAAATGATGAGGTTTGTTAGTGAACTTGAAGTTGTACCTACATCTGTTGTAACTGAAGGACCATTCGAACCGGGTTTGACTAACTCCCGGTCAACAGATGTACCTAAGGATTCTTCAATTCCGTTCCAACTTACCACAACTCAAAACCAATTCCATTACCATATCGTGACAACCCTTCCCCGATCCCAATTCCACTCGACTTCACATTCACCTTCACCATTGATGAAACAACCTTCTTCTTGTGTCCCTGTTTTTGCCCTTAAACCACCCCTCAATGTATAAAGAAACATTGGAATCTCGTTGCTTCAACCCTTTCCACCTCCCACTCCACCGCCATCACTAACTCCGAATTCCAATTCTGCCCCGTTTTATGGACCATTGACCTGGGAAAAAGTTCGACCAAATCAGTGTTGAGAAGCTTGTAGAACACCACGGAAGGGTTTTATAGAGGAATGGGTGACAGGGAAGGTTAATGGAGGGTAACCTAAAATCCTAATTATGAATCAAAATAAGAAAAAAAAAAAAAAGGAAATTAGACATTAGGAAGATGATGGATTGTTGTGAAGACGAAGAGGATCTAGTATATATATGGGTTGATTTCAATCACCCAATCAACACATTTGAGTAGATCAGTGTTGAGAAGCTTTTAGAACACCACCATCTACATATCTCCTCCTGTAAAACACCACCACCTCACATGTTACCCACCTACAAATCAAATGAGAGGAACTCCATATGGCCTTGGTGAACAAACGAGAGAAATAAAGGTATATTCTTGTTCATCTTCACAATTTTGGTTACCCACCTGCAAATAAAACGAGAGAACGAGAGGGGGGGGGGGGAGAAGGAGAAACACATAAGAGAGATTTTAAAGCTTGGGTAACCAGCTAATTAAAGGTTTACCGGTTCAAAGGACTAAAGTGAGTGTAATAGCCGGTAACTCGTCCTTTTTTATTAATGAAATTTAATTTGGGACTAAATCATAAACCAGGGCAAAACTTTGGGACTTTTTCGCAGATTTCCTTTATTTTGACTATAGTTCATATATATTGTTTAATGTATTGTTTATGTTAGTTATATTATCATGTTGAACATGAGATTATGTTTTTATGTTCGAGTTTTATGATGCAAATATTATTATTGTTAGATAACATGCATTATGGTGATCAGATTCTAATTAGTTTCGTATTAAAATTATATCCAAAATTTATAGGTTCATATATATGATACAATTTTTGATCATATTATTTTAATCATGGACAACGTACGGTTATACGTCTCATCAAAAAATTAATAAATAGATATGTATAAGTAAGAGTGACAACCGATATCGAGTACTCTCTTTTAAAACCAAAACTGAATCGAACCCATTGGTTCTAGAACCGAAGCCAAGGTTACTACCAAGCACCGATTCCAATTTCGATTACCATTCTTTAGGAACTGTTATTTGCCGGGTAACTGCCGTAACCCATTCTGAAATATTAAATTTAAAAATACTTAGTACTTAAAAGAATTGGTTGTAACAATATTGATGTCTATGACATTTGTTAAGACTATCTAATCGGATCATGGAAGCAACATGATAATAAGTTATATTTGCAATGTCTTTTTCAAAACAAATGATCTGATATGAATGTAAATTCATAACTATAAACAATTTTAACATATGTGCTTTTAATATTCTTTGAATAAATCTGATGTTAAATAACATTGATAGGTTGATGGTAAGAACATGACTTTGGTTTATTTTATATTTTGAGCTTGAATTATCTTTTTAAATGGTTTTTTCTTTTTGTTTGTAACTTATTTCGTAGTGAAATAGTTATAGTATTTACTCTAAGAACTTGAATCGCCGCTTCAACAACTAATTTCAAAAATTTAAGAACCAACTAGACTGGTTTCGGTTCCGGTTCAACTTCATAAGAACCGTCAGCTCTGGTTCCGTTTCTGGCGAAATAAGACGGGTACCAACCTGTGCCTCAGGAGATGAATGTACTTGAGCGGGTAAATCTATGTATGAGTACTCATCACTAACTCCATAATTACTAATATTAATTGCTCAAACCTACTTGCACACTCTCACCCAACAGCTAAGTCGAGATGGACACTTGTCTAACATTATTTCCTCTTTATTTGACTTTAATATTTTCCATCCGCCATCGTAATCTGAAAGCAATGCGTCATAGCTAGATAAGAATGGCAACGGGACGGATCTATATAAAACACTATTCTACCCGACTTTAATTCCAAACAGACATTGTTGATTAATAAAACGTCACTTACCTATGGTCGGCAAATGAATAGATGATCATATCATTCTTTTATTACTTTTCACTATTTTTCTTCTCATGTGTTGATGTGAACAATATTAGGGTAATTAATCACATTTATTTTGGTGTTTTATGCCAAAACGTATGTTAAGAACAGTAATATTGTCGTTGCAGTAATTGGAAATAAAAGGAGTTGCCACATGGTATGCTCTCTCTCTCCTTGTTTCGTCTGTATTATTACAATCTAATGAAAAGAATAAATACGAATAATATAAAGGATGCTCCCCGAAAGCAGGAATGAAAATTGTATAGATCCTGCGTCTCTATTAATAATACATAGAAACCTAACTAGGTTTCTTGTTGTCAACTTTGTAATACGTTTTCTTGATATTTAAACACACATACCTACATAAATACATGATGCATACGTGTTATATATATATATATATATATATATATATATATATATATATATATATATATATATATATATATATATATATATATATATATATATATATATATTGAATGATTTATACTATTATCGGACCAATATGGAATATGAAAATTTAATAATATAGCTTGGTTATGCAGTATTAGTAGGAAAAAATACAACCTAATTCGAAGTCCTGTTATTATTGAATACAAACTTTAAGAAATTGTTTGGTTTGAACTATTTATTTAATACGTTTTAGGAATATTACTATTAAGTTGAAGGAGTAATTTAAACTGATGTATTAAGTTTTATCAATGCTATTCTTTTATGTTTTTATTTATAACTTATGTAAACGTACGCATCACATTTTTATACAAACACTTTTAATTAAAACATATTTTACGCAACACAAATGAATAAATGCGGCTATGACATAATGAGTTCTTTATCATAACTTATATAAATTATATTTATCAAAAGTAAAACATTAAGTTATGTAGATGAGCGCAATTAAATCATCATTTTCTTAATGCGAAATATGTGCATATATATTTTAATACACATCAAATATGTGCAAAATGTATGCACATATATATCGTTTAATACACATCAATTACAAACTATTTTTTGTAATATCATGACACACAATATATTTTTGCGTTTATATTATAAAATTATATAGTACATCAAATCAAATCATGTTTTACAATTACAGAATTTTTAATTCTGAGTAAACATTTAAAAATAAAGATAGAATATTAGCCGTAAAAAAAAAAAAGATGAAAGAAACAAAAAACAACAATTGTGTTTTATTAATGTTTTTTTCTAATACCGTAAATGCACAATCACAGCTTCACGATCTCCGGGATGTCCACAGGGTACCGATCAATGCAATCTTCCCATGGTCCGCCGGTCGGTGTTTTTATGTTCCGGTTACACTTCCACACGGCGCTGTTACACTTAAAACCACTTCCAAACGCTATCTGCCAAACCCTATCACCTTTCTTCATCCTCCCTTTTGATTCGATGTAACTCAACTCATACCACAGCGACGACGACGACGTGTTTCCAAACCGGTGCAAAGTCATTCTTGAAGCTTCCACATGCTCCGCCGACAACTGGAGGTTCTTCTGCAACTCATCTATCACCGCCCTCCCGCCGGCGTGTATACAGAAGTGCTCGAATGCTAGTTTGAAATCTGGAATGTAGGGTTTCCATTTCGGGTTGAAGATTTTCCGGCCGATGAGAGTGAAAAGAAAGAGAAGCTGTTCAGATGCTGGTAAGACTAAAGGACCGATGGTTGTGATGTTGGATTTCAGAGCTTCGGCGGCGATCACCATGAGATCTTTTGACAAGTTGATTCCGACGAGTCCTTGAGGATCTTCTTGTTCGTATACGCATTTGTACGCTCTGTCGTCGGAACCTTTGTGGGTTCTGACGACATGAACGAGCTTGTACTTTGAACGACTCCGGTCACGGCGTTTATTGGATAACAAAAGCGCGGCGGCGCCCATCCGGAAAAGGCAGTTAGGAAGGAGCATCGCTCGTTCGTTTCCTTGATAATAATTTGGAGTAATAATCTCAGTGCTAATTACCATAGCGTTACAATTCGGAAGAACCTGAAGCAAATCCCTAGCTAAATCTATGGAGATTAATCCTGCACTACATCCCATACCGGACAAGTTATAGCTCTTGATGTTACTCCTCAACTTATACTTATTCACCACCATCGCCGACAACGACGGCGTCGGAGAAAACAAGCTACAGTTGACTATAAGAATATCTATGTCTTTCGGTTTCAATCCTGTCTTCGCAAACAAAGAATCAATGGCGGAGAAAATCACGAGTTCAGCCTCACCCCTAGCGGCCTCCATGTTTGGAGTCGGTGGGATGTAATGAATCGCCGGCGGCAAACTCGTCTCTTCACCTAATCCAGAACGTTCAAGAATCCTCATCTGGAACTCAACACTCTTAGGGTTATCCTTGAGGATCAACCTTGAATGTTCCATGAAAGTGGAGAAGGGGACACGGCACGTGATCGGAGCTTTGTAGCATGTATAGTCGACGAGGTAAATGGGTCGAGGTTTTGACATGAAGTAGACGGTGGAGATGAAGAGTAAAAGAAACACAGAGCATAGTGTTTGAACAAGATCAAGACGGAGGGATTTTACGGTGGTTATGATCTCATCTGGTCCGAGGCGGAGGATTTCCAGGGCGACGGCTGCGATGATGGGGATTAGTATGAATGTAAGGATGTGGTTAACAAGGTACTGGTAGCCCAGCTTCACGTATTTCAGCTTCACGGAGGAGGAGAAATCCGGCAAGACTGGTGGCATTTTTTAAGGTTTATAGGGAGAGAGAAAGAGAGAAAGGGTGTAGCTACAATGGCGGATTGAGGTAATGAAGAAGGAGGGGAGGTGGTGGGAGATTTAAAGGGAAGGGGGGAAGGAAAGGCAATGAATGAAGACAGATGAGAAGATATAAATGAGGGGTCACCTTCAACATCATGCAACGGTCCCTTATTACTGTTGTGACTTTCTTTAATAAAAGGTTTACTTACGTTTATGGTCCCTATTCTCGCTAGAATTCACACTTCATACCCAAAAAAGAAACAATTAGCAGGAATATTTTATTTTGTTAATTAATAAGAATCTAGAAAAAAAAAAAAAAAAAAAAATCATACAATCAAAGTTGGGTCTTTAATCATACCACTCCAGTAGATTTTGTTGGACAAAATCTTGGTGAACTAAAAATGCAAGTGAGAGAATATATCATCAAATAATGTTTCTTTTTAGACTTAGTTGTAGGAAATAGGAAAGTGTTTTGAAAGCGATGAAATCTTCCACATAGCCTTAAAGATCACCACGTTAAAACCCTTTTTTGCTCCAAAGTTAGACAAGTGTTATCCAACGAATTCAGCCAATCCTTCGCCAAGAAATTAGATGTGATAAAAACGTTACACCGATGGTCAAATTCGTTAAATAGAAACCCTTATGAGGCAGGTCTAAAAACAAGTGATCCGGAAACTCCTGAATGACAATGGTGGCACAATAGGGATATCAAAAATTTTTATAGGATCTATATTCCATACCGGATTATATTCTACAAAAAATTGGGGATGGACAAGGGGGTGGGAGTTGGATTAAACCTCTTTTTATTTTTGGGACCTGAGATGTGAGTGGATATTTGTCTGCAAGGAGTCTGTTTGTATATTTATATATAAAATATATATTTAATATAAAAATATATACAAACAATAATAATAATATATTATCATATTTTAGGGTTTTTTGAAAATTTTCCACTTTACAACATATGATAATAAGATAGTGAATTGTTCAATATATTTTTGGATATGTATTTATTTGTAATGTTGAATTTTTTATATTTTATATTTGCAAGTTTGTGGGATTTTTTGTTTTGTAATGTTGCATTTTTAATTATTTAGTTGTCAAAAAACTTGATTTTAAGTTTTTCAAGTTATGAAAAATAGTTTTTTCAATCCAAAATTTAACATATATTTTTTAGTAAAAAATTCAATCTTAAGCCCATAAAACATAGAAATGGGGTCGGGGTCGGGATCGGGTGATATGTAAATGGAGAATTCGCGTGGGGAGGTGGGGGAGGGGTGGCTGAGGCGGGGGCAATAGTCGATTTTTGGGGTGGGTGAAAGCAGTTATTCTCATTCTCGTTTACTCCCGTTGACATCATTAAGAACAAAACTATATCAACATCCACACATCTTGCATCCTCTTTTCTTGTAGGTAATATGTAAAGGCTAAAAGCTATCCAAAATTCATTGAACTCCGTAGAGTTCAAAAAAATGTCGCATATTATATATATATATATATATATATATATATATATATATATATATATATATATATATATATATATATATATATGTTTACTTTTAAAACCCACAATCCATTAAACGCTTATTTAATCCTAATCACCATTTTATTCTCCATATTAAACACTTAAATACTTAAATGTTCATTAAACACCATTTCATATTATCACCAACACTCCATTAAACATACTTATTCAATCATATTCATCCCCTTATTCAACTCATTTACAACCTGCATAGTGGATGACCGTAGCTATGCACCATCTAAACAAATTAACTTTTATAGATAGATGTTTGTTCTGAGAAATCTTTGACCTCTCATAACCAATGTTGTAACCCAAATCAAATGCCTAGCGGATGTAGCAATAAAGACCCATATGTTACGAACATTATACTTAATCATCCTTTATTTGAGAATGAGAAAAATCGGTTAGATCATTAGGTATGGGTCACGTTATAACACCAAAATTCATATGTCATCTTAACTTTAACACCACCATAATACTAAGAAGGAAATGGTATTCCCTATGTTATAACATGTTAAGAGGTAGAGAGAGAAACAAAGAAAAGGATTTGATTCGTTTATGAACGCAACAACCAATTAAACTTCTAGTTGCATCTTTTCTTCGTCACAACAAGATGTGCCTTAACACCCTCTTAGCAAGAAGGGGGTGGTGTTCATCCTGTTATGACTAGGTTACGAGATGCCACATCAGCAATATTACCACTTCTTTTTGCCAATACTGTATGCTCTTAGAGAAGACACTACTAGAAAAAAAAACCTTTTACGACGCGTAATGCGTATCGTAAAACGCTCAGACGACACGCAAATGTGTGTCAAAGAAGGCCCTATCATAAAGGAAGACGAGATGAATTTGCGTGTTGTAACCTTACAACATGCATTTACGACGCGTGTCTCCGACGCACAATGTGTGTCAAGGAAGGCCCTTTCATAAAGAAGATGGCACGCATTCGCGTGTCGTAAAACGACACACATTTATGACTTGCATTGCGTATCATTAAATCTTGTGTCATAAAGAAAGACGACACACATTTTTATATGTTATAAAGTTTATATATATATATATATATATATATATATATATATATATATATATATATATAATTTACTAATTTTCAAATTACATCGCACGTTTATTGACTAAAAATATTATATAAAATTTCATACACAAAAACTAAAATACATTGCACAAAGTATAATATGTCTTACACATAATCATTCAAATGTTAAAAAAAAAATAATACATTGCTAACATGGGCTATACATTCCTATATAACTAACTACCCTCGATGACCTTGATCTAGATTGAGGTCGACTTGGATGGATGGCGACGATTGGATTTTAGATACACGACATGATTACTGACCTAAGACCTTGTGAAACAAGTGCATCCCATGCCCTATTTGCAACAACCACCACACGTTTTAGTGTCTCAAGGGCTAGTATACTTCCTCCTTTCCATCCAATAGTTTTCATTAACAATGGAACCACACGTAGGGGTGGGGTGGGTTCATACTTGTACACAACCATAACCACTTATTCGATTTTATTTCCTATATATATATATATATATATATATATATATATATATATATATATATATATATATATATATATAATGATCATACAATTACAACACACAAGTAGCTCACCTATTTACTTTCGAGATTGGAAAGTAGCTCCATAACAAAGTCAAACTAGAGCATGAATATTATGAAACCAAACCAAACCACAAGTTACAAATTGATAAATAAAGTCAACCAAGTTAAGATTAAGATGACGGGATCTAAAATGCCATACCAATTTGGGAAAAGCATCCATCACCTAGATAACTATAAAGGGTAAGAAGGTAAAATCAGTTGTAAAATAAAAAAGAATAATGATGTAAATTCATTGGTAAAAGGGTAAGAAAGTAAAATCACTTGTAGAAGGGGATAAATCAGTATTTGTCCCAATGCCCATTTTAGAATTTCGAGCTTCTTCATGTGCATTTTTTAAAAGTTCCTCAGGAAAAGCAATCACATGCAACAAAAAAAAAAAAAAAATTCAAACCTCAAACACTTTGTAGCTTTTGTTTCTACATCAGTAAGATAAAAATGGTGTTGTTTCAAACTCATCATCTTAGTGAACGTCGGAAAATCAAGAGACCGAGGTATAAGTAGATTTCCATCACAACACATCCGTGCTTTTGTCACTTAAATACATACTACATTTCAATAACATAATTTATAGATATCAGAATTAGTTTTAAATCGGTTTATTGTGTCAAAACAATGCTACAGACAACAAGATGAACTTTCCTAATCGAAGTTGTTGGTAAAACACTTCATTTTCATTTTCACCTGAAACATTTAATTTTTGGGAATAATTAGGTGCGCGTCAACCAGAATCCTATATGGCATCAGTTCTTCTCCAGCCTCAACTACATCCAACATTAACTGTCAATCCAACACACAACCATCAAAAAAATAACAAGTACAAACACAGATAAAGATAAAGATATAGATAAAGGTAAAGGGTTAACTAATATTCTTATGGAGTTGCCTTCCAATCTTTGAAATCAAATCTGAAGAGGAAATGAGTTTAGCAAACCTCCTTTGAAGCAACTGCTTTAGCAGTTAGAGAAATCCTTGGTGCTATAGGAAACAATATAAATAAGTGATACATGAATTGATAGAAGAAGGTTTTTGAAGAAACACTATTTGTTGAAAACTTACAAACCAAACGATCTCCTTTATTATTGACTTTTAATTCTACACGACCATCTTTAACAAGATGTTCTATTGAGGATTAAAGTTTCAAGCTTTACAATTCTGTTCCTTCTCAACACATCAAGCACGGTTGACATCTTCTTATTAGTGTTTGTTTTCTCTTCTGTAACACTTGAAGCAAGCCACAAAAATCCAATAGAAAGTACATGTATTTATATGATGCATAAATGTAAATTAAGTCTCAAACTGTAAGCATAATTACCTCTTTAGGGCGAGCTTTTTTAGTTAATCTAGCATGCTTTCTATTATCTACAACCTTTCGTTGCTTGATTTCATAGTTCATTGGCCCAATCCTGCAATACAGAAACATAAGTTTAGAGATAAAGTTTGTGTGTGTGTATGTGAGAGAGAGAGAGAGGTTGGTTGTTATATTGTGCAACATTCATCAACCTTGAGAAAAACATGAGAAACTGCAATACCAATGTCTTTCCAAATAACAAAGTTCCTAACCTAATTGTTAACAAGGAGTTCTTAAAAGTTAGTACACAGTGTATGCCATTTATTCAGAGTGAAAATGAAAAATGATCTTTGTTTTCTTGAGGAAGAAACTAAAAACAAAGAAAATACACATAGCTTCTGCTAGTATTGAGCTTGGAACAACAACCTACAATTTCAGATAGTTAATAAGATACCAACTGGATATGAGGGCATTCATGTCTTTTGTTACACATGACAAGACTGAAACTGGAC